AACAGTTTTTAGATCAAAATTATCTAGATAATTGCAACTTTGCAAACATCCTTTGCTGCTTAAAGATTGCAAATAGTTTAATCACAATTCGTTGCTCAACTAAAATTGAACTATGCCGCGTGCAGAAACTTCATCAAATTTCAATCTTGTTACGAAATTGCCTAGAACACACACACACACACACACACACGCGCGCAAGTAAATGCGTATACGTGATATGTGCAATGGCTGGCAGATTGCGCATACGTCCCGTATGGCCACGCACACGTACGATTGGAGGCGAGCCCATCAATAGAGAAAGGCACGCAAAAGGTTTTACGACACGACAAATTCCAGTCAAAAAAATATGACCGTAGTGAAAGTGCTTCTTGGAGCATGTCCTGTCCATTGTTCGGGATTTGACATTGAGTGGAAAACATGACACCTTCACACACATATTCCATACATAAAGTGGGCCAATGGCTTGTGGGAATTTTAATAGCTGGATGACATACCTGTTGCCGCCTGTGCCTGTACCTGTTGCTTGACGTTGTCGATTATCTTCTCGCCCAGGCCCTTGTGCAAGCTATGCGCGGCAATGTGCTGGCTAAAGCTGCCCGCGTCCCCATCCCCGCCAGCTGCACACTGTGCCTTGTAAAGCACCTTGGCAGGCATGGGTGGAGGTGGAGGTGGCGGCGGCGGGGGTGGAAGTGGCGCTGGTGCCGCTGCAACTGTTGTTGTTGCAGCTAGTTCCGCTTGCTGGACGCGCAGCAATTGCTCCTCGGCGAGATCGGCGCGTGTTAGCGCCTGACGCAGCTGCTCCTCGAGTATTTCCAACTTAAGTTGTAATTTTTTTAGTTCATCGTTAGTAGTTTTTGCAATAGCCGCATCCATAAGACTTTGCTACGGAAACAACAAGAGCGAGCGAGCGGGGGGGTTGGCGGCGGAGCGGGGTCAAAGGTAACGAAAATTAGTAGAACAAACATTAGTTAAAACGCCTTCGATGCGAGTTAGTGCAGAAAGCAATACAAAGTGTATAGAGATATATTTTTAAATAAGCAGCAGCAGAGATAGGGAGAAGCGATAGGGCAAGCGAGTTGCGCTTACGTTTTGCTCGGATTCCAGCACCGAAAATATGAAGAAGGGGTACAACTAAAACCCATCTGGGCACATTCCATGCATATATGTATTTATTATTATTAAGAGTTGCCTTTTTAGTTGTGCGCCATTTGCCGCCGTTTAGTTGCTCTTAAATATACTCGAAAACGGCTTGAATATGTCAAACACGCTGCGTGTTTGCTTTGAGACGGAAATACAAAATGGGACAGATAGATAGATAGGATAGGTAAACCGACACCAAATAAATAAATTGTAACTAAATAACCCTTGGCTCACCATTTCCACAATGCGTTCGTTGTGCTCGAGCGTCTGGTGTTGCAACTGATCCGTAATCTGCTCGAACTCCGCCTGCGATTGCATCGTCGTCGGCGATGGCGTTGCCTGCGGCTGTCCGTCCGGCTGGTCGCGTAACTTGGCGGTTAACTCATCGTTCCGCTGCTTCAGCCTTATCAAAGCCGCCTCCATTCTGCAATAGAAATGTTGTAATTACTTGGTTAACTCTAAGAGGCAAGACTATAAGACATTTGACAAACATAAAAGCTGTCCTTGGTACGCCTTAATATACACTATATATCATATTGAGCTTTGGTTTATCATAAAAATACAGGGGAGTTCCAGGCTCACAGTTGTTCGGTTCTTAACTGCCAAGAGAGTTTGGCCTAAATATCTTTGCAAAATAAAGTCATTTCTGGCCAATCATTACTATGGCATCTATATGATACATTTTATGATTAGTCCGATCCTTCTTATATGGATTGCAACAGAAAGACGAGACCTGTGCAAACTGGAAGACTAGTCTATCAAGCAAATAATGTGACCTTTTTATGAATTCTAAAATGAAATGTTTCAGTCTAAATTTAACCTGAATTAAAGCCAAAAAATGGGGTTCAAGCCGTTCTTTTAGTTTGCCGTAATTTGAATATGACAATGTAGCCTTCGCTTACTTCTGGCTGGTCTCCACGCTTTCCTTCATGTTGTCGGTCAACAGTTTGGCCACCTTGGTTAGATTGCCGTTCTCGGTGCGCAGCGTTTCGTTCTCCTCCTCCAGCAAATGTTGCTACAATAGGAAGCATAGCGTAAGCTTGATTTAACTAGAGCGTGGACATCGATGTCAACTTACGTGCTCGACTAGTTCGGCTATTTTCTCATTGGCCTCGTACAGCTGCAGTTCCACGGCGTTGGTGGCATGTTTGAGCGTTAGGAATTCCGAGACGAGACGCTCCACTAGACTGTTGGTAATGGGCACATCCAGATTGCCATCAACATCGATCAGGCTGTCTAGCTCGTGGCCAACCTCGCCGCTGTCTGTGCTGTCATGTTGTAGAATCTTGAGCAGATTACGTTTTAGCTCCACGGAACCGACTAGCGGTGCCCCACTGGAGGGTCCAAGCTGCTTTTCGCGCATGTGCTCCAGCTCGCTGGTGAGACTGCAAGGTGGAGACATGTTTAATTCGGTTTATTTCGCTTTTATGATTTGGCTTACTTGTGTATTTGATCGACCTTCATTTTGTGCAGTTTGTCGAGGGCATTGCGCTCATTGAGCGTTTTATTAAACTTGCCGGTGAGATCCTTGATGTCTGACTCAAATTTGACCTGCTGCTGCTGCAGCAGCTCCAGCTGGGCACACAGCTTCTCGTGCTGCGCCTGCTGCTCCTCCTGCGTGGTTTTATCTGCGCGTAGAGTTGAACGTTCAGAACACGAACACATATGTATATCAGTAAAGGGGCTGGGCTAACTTACGCGATTCGATCTCTAGTTTCAGCGCTTTGTTCTCCTCCCTTAGCGCAATGTTGTCCTCCAACAGCGTAAACATATCATGCTCCGGATCCTGATTATTATAGTCCGGCTCACTGACACGACTGCGACTGCGCGTCTTCGCCTCCTGGGTGCGAAACTTGGCAACCGGAATTCGTCCACGTCGCTCCATGCTGCGCGCTTGTTATCTGAGCGAGCGGAAAGAGAAGTTTAGCGATTAGATCAGTTGTTGGAATATATATATAAGCATATTAACTCTGCTTACGTTTGTACGTGCCTCAAGCCTTAAAGCATTATGCTAACCTCTTATGCTATATGCGATATGAAACTTAAATGCTGCCAACACCATGAATTGCCTGCGTGTGAGTGTGTGTTATGTGATGTGTGTGTATGAGAATTCACGAGCGAGATGTGTGCGTGTGTGTGTTTGCGTGTGTGTTGCATGAGTTGGATGTCCTTTGGCTGGCCCCATTGAAACGCCTTGCGGTTTTATTTTTTTTTTTGCTTGTTTTTTTTTTCTTTTCTTCTTTTATTATTATTATTACTATTATTTGCTGTTTATAATTGTTAATCAATTTTTATGCCGCCCCATTAATCAGCTTCATGTGGTTTTTGAATGCGCCTGTTTCAGATTCTTGCATAATGTCTTTTACATGTGTTTTGAGATTTGTTTTTTTTTTTAAGTTTGTTGTAAACGTTTTTAGAATTAAATTGTATTATTTATTATTATTTGCTTCCTTGCCAAAAATGCTTACAGTTAAAGTTGTTTTTGTTTTTGTTTCAAATTATCCCAGAATTTGGCTACACATTTCAAATGCATGCAAAGAATGCTAGAAGTTCTCAGAATTTACTTAGCTTGGCTTTAAACTATTCGCTTTTCAGTGCAGAAGCGTTTTTTTTTCGACAATTGCTTAACTAATATTTTTTATTTTTGTTTACATTCTTTTTTTTGTTTTGTATTTCATGCTAAATAATTTATATCCTTACCACTTTCTATTTTTTTTTTTGTTTTTTTTATATTGATTTACTTTATATTTTATTTCTTGCATTTTGCCGCAAAACCATTTTCAATCTTTGCCACTTTCAGTGTTTTAATAAAAACAAAAAGAATGTTAAAAAAAAAAAAAAAAAAACATTCGAGTTGTGAAAATCTTTTGCTATTGAAATATTAATTTTTGAAATTAATTTCTTTTTCTTCTCCTGTTTTTTTTTTGTATACTTATAAAAATAACTAATTCAAGGCGGCTTAGAGCTCTTGGTTTTTGTTTTTCATTTTTTTTTAAGTTGCTCTTTTTTTTTTTATTATTTTTTCGTTTTCTTTTTTATGCTGTGAATATATAAATATAGTTTTTAATTTGGTTTAAATTGCTATGTTTTGTTTTTGTTGTTATTATATTTTAAATTAAAGTTTATGTATTTTTTCATTCTTTTTACAGCTAATTTTAAATTGTATCTTTGGATTATTTGTTTTTGTTTTTGTCATGCACTGTATACTAAATACATACATACTTTACATGTCTTTTCTTGCTAAATGTACATTGTTTAATGTATAACATACATACATATATATATATGTAATTATATAATTTTGTATACATGTATTTTGTTGAGTCTAAGCCTCGAAATAATTAAAATAGTCATCGATTCTTTAGAAGGAAATAAACGTTATCTGCTTTTGGGTTTGAGCCTTTTGCATGAGGAAATCACATCAATCAAATTTTGTAATAAGTAGTTCTTTAAAAGTAATTATAAAATAAGAACAAAAAGAAAACAATGCAAATTCAAAAATTTGTTTTTTTTTTTTTTTTGTACTGAAAGGTAAACAAATTTTGCATTTGTTTATGTGTAAAACAAAAGATTGCTAAACTATTCTGATAGAGCCCCGCGTTTAGGGGACTTTTGACTTTGATTTTGAAGGAAACATAGGAAAATGAAATACTGTCCAGTTGTACGGGTAAAAAAGTAAAATTCATAGATTGGTATATATATAAATATATATATATATGTGTGTGTGTATATATATATGTACCCTGCCTTATATACATATATATTTAAATATAAATATTATGCTTTGTGTTTGATTTTTGAGAATACTTTTTGACGCCGAGATTCCTTTTAGTTTTTTTTTTTTTTTTTTTTGTTATTTAATTTATGCGTTTTGTATATTTTTTATTGCAATAGTTTATAATATATGCCGTTGTTTGTCGTCTGTTTGTTTGTTTCTCAGTTTGTTTCAATTGCAATGTAAAAGTGGTTTCTGTCTGTTTGTATAGAGGTGTATATATAGGTGTGTATGCATATACGACCGCGCGTGGTGTATGATTTAAAGGCCAAATGGCGCTGTTTCAATTGTCATATACATATAAATATGTGTTTTGTTTTTATATATTTTTTTGCCTGCTATTTGCTTCGTTGTTGTTGTTGTTGTTGTTGTAGTTGTAGTTGTTCCTGCATTGGGTGTGGGCGGGGGCGGTGCTGTCTTTACATTTCCTCGATAAAAGCACGCAATTTGTCCATAAGGGCCCGAGGGTATCCGGCGGAATGTTCCAATTCCTGCTTGAACCACTTATCAAACGAGTCCCGCGATATTACCTCACAGTCGTACAGTACGCTCCAGGTGCTGCAGATGGTCTCGCCCGCGGCCATCTCATCCTCCATTTCAAGCGCAAAGTGTTCCTGCAGCGCATCGACCGTCTCCTCGATGCATGCAATCTCGTGCGCCTCCTGCGCATCAATGCACAGCCGCAGCAGCGGAGTACAATGTCTCCGGAAGCTCTCCACATTCAGCTGCAGTTGCAGTTTATTCTTGTTAGTACTATGGTTGTTATTGTAGTTCTTGGCTGATGTATTGCTGATCACAGTTAATGCGAAATCACAGCAAAGGAATTTGGTAAGGTGACGCACAAAATTCACATTAATATGCACATTGGTATTGATATAATCGATGGCGGTGTCACTGGACAGACGCAGCAAATAGCTAATCCGTTCCACATGCTCCGCCTGGGTGCGTGCGACCTTGGGCCGCTGCATACTAGCTGTGCCTGTGCTGTTCGGCTCCAGAAACTGAAAGCTATTCGACTGCAAAAAGTCGCGATACTTGCGAGCATCGCTCCAAAATAACTGGCCTCGATCCAGTTTGCTGTCCACATGCCACAGCTTGTGTGTATATCCGGCGCCAAATTCTTGAACAAAGTAGCTGACAAAGGCGCGTACAAAGCGTTCCGTGAATTGTGGGTCCTCGAGCCAGCGCTGCTGCCACACATCCTTGAACTCGAGACCACCCTCATGCATTATGGGTCCGAGAAACTCAAAGACATAGGTCCAGCCGTTGGGCACATCCACCAGCAGATCGCGAAACTCCTCCCCGAAACGGCCGTACGCCTGAGCAAAGCTCCCTCTGCCGAATGCCTCCTGCTGCATTAGGTACGAAAAGACATTGGCGCATGCCAAGCGCTGTTGTCGCTTGACTTCCGCACGATGCACGTAATCTATCAGGACATAGTATATGATGGCCACAGCAGCCTGTTGCTTGGCATTTGAATTACGCCAAATGGCTAGCACTTCCGTTTGCCAGTCTCGGGTGCTGAGCACTTCTTCGACCAGCTTTGTGAGCATCTCTTGACACTGTTTCCCATCGAAATCCACCTCGACGCTGCTGGGCTCCATGTTGTTGTTCCTGTTGGCGGCAAGGGGCCCGACTGCCGCTGGCGTCGTTTGCTGTTGATACGTCGGATAGTTAAAAGAGCTTGTTGTTGGCGGCATGCGCTTGAGCAAACTGGGCTGTGTCGCTGGTGCTGCACTGACCGGACGATTGCTGGCATTGCGCCACTGATAGTGCGAGGAGTTGCCCAGCTTGGCGGTCACTGCGTCGTCGTTGTTGCTGCTGCTGAAGCGCAGCTTGTTGGGATCTATGCTTAGGGATTGGTTCTCATGCTGCTGCGCCTTGGGCACCTTTTGCATAAAGTAATTGCTGCTCTCATTGTAGCCATGATGATGATGGTGTTGCTTCTGCTGTTGATACTGGTAGTTCGACTGTTGTTGCTGCTGCTGCTGCTGTTGCTGTGGCAGGTGGCCGCCGCCACGTCCGCTGTGCTGCTGCTGTTGCTGTTGTTGTGGCTGTGCCTTGGGCTCGTCGTGCTGTTTGTGACGCTGCCGACTGCCAGCGGTCGAGTGAGTTGTCACCGGCTGATCCCAGTTACGCGAGCGTAAATCAAGCACATCCTGCATCATAAAGCGCACACGGCTGCTAATCTTGATGTTAAGCTGATGCTGTCGACTATTGTTGCTGTTGCCACGTGAGCGCTGTACAATATCCTGGATACGGCGAAAGATCTTCTCGATGCGCACACCGCTCTGGTACTGCTCTGGTGGGCCAGCCTCCAGCAGATGGCCAACAGTTGTGAGCAGCTTGCACATGTACTCCAGTTTCTCCTCACAGCCATGCTCCAGCAACGATTCGACGCAGTGAAGCACCCGATCGCTGGTCAGCGATTGCAGCTTGAATAGCTCGCCAATAAAGCGCACAGTGCCCCAGGCGCGGCGCCTAAACTGATACTCAAGATCCTCCATTTCGGCACGCAGTTCGGCTTTCTTGGCCGCATCCGTGCACACGTTAATGCGTTCCTGTGTGGGCTGCAGTTTCTTGGCCTTGGCATTGGCATCGTTCACATTCGACTCAAACTCGTGCTGAATACGCGTGATAAGCGAGCTGGTAAACAGCGATTTGTTCTCTGCCTTGATCTCGTGGAATAGCACCTTACAGAATCGCGCATAGGTAGGCGCAAAGTTCGGCTCACTGATGGTCTTCTCAAATATAAGCAGCATAACCTGTTGGTAAGAAGAGATACAATCAGAATTTGGTTAAAACATAGATTTTAGAATAAGAATTCCTTTCTCACATTTGTCATTTTGCCCTGGGTATCCATCTTGATGCTGGACATCTCCTTGAGCAGCACCTCAAAATTGTCCGGGGTCAGTTTGTTGAGTATGCCGCGTACTTTCTTCAGCACCGCTTCCATGTCATCATCCGGGTCTTGTTCCGTTGTGCTGAACATGGACATGCGACGCAGCGTCTCCGGCTGCCAGGCATTCTCGCATTCCGATAGCTTAATCTCCTCTTTGAGCGAGAGCTGCACACGTATTATATCCATGTGCCGCTGATTGGAGCTGCCCATGCCGCCGGGCCCGGAGCTGTTGCCACTCGAATTGCCGCCCATCTGTTGATGGCCATCATGATGTTTCTTATTCGGCCCATGGCCATGACCACGCCCGCGCTTAACAGAACCATAATCCATCGAATCGTGCGCGTGCTGATACTGCTGGCCATGCGGATTATGTGCGTGATGATGCTGTTGCTGCTGCTGTGACTGTCGCGAAACAAAAAGCTGTGCAATGCAGTCGCCCTTCTGACAGGGCACCAGCGGCGGCTTGCGTGAATCACTGAGCTTGGACAATTCGCGCAGCTCATCTATGTTGTATCTTATGAATTTGCTGATAGTAGCGCTCTTGGCGGTTGCAGTCGGAGTTTTGCCGCCGGCGGCCTTCTGAATTGAGCCTGATATTTTGGCCGGCTGATGCATGGGCGATGCCTTCTTGACGGGCACCTCAATTTTTTGAGTGCTAACCTTTGGAGCACAATCCACATTATCCTCTGACATGGTGGTCTGCGAGCTGGTCACATCGATGGGCTGTGAGCTGGACCAGGTCGAGCTACAAATAAAACTGGAACTGTGTGCAGGTGTCTCCTCACTAAAGTCACCAAATTTCAGCTCGCCCACATTGCTCTCAACGCACTTGCTGGCAATATCAGCGATTAGTTCGCCGCTGCCTGCGTTGCTCTCAGTTAACTTTTCGGCAATGCAAGCACCGCTTAGTAAGTCTTCGTCGTCGCACATGGAACTGCTGCTGTTTAGGAATTCCAGCTGTGTCTCAGCTGGGCTGGGCGCATCGTCAAAACTCTTTTGCAGAAACTTGGCCACAATATCCTCGTTGGCCATGTGCTTGTCCAGCTGCTGTGTCATATCACACGAGTCTTTATCCTTGTCGTCAACTGAAAAACGCGAGCAGAAGATTAGTTACAGTCCAGTTGGTTGTCACCAGATTCGGTTTACTTACATCTATGTTCGATGGCAGCCGCATCGTCATTGTTGCTGCTAGAATGCTGCGGCTGATCTTTGGGTTGCTTGTCTCTTATGCTAGAACTTAAGCTAGAATTATTACTAGTTGCACTAAGCTTATCAGTCATCGAGGACGCCGTTTTGTCCAGCGTTGCGGACGCGACAGCGGCTGTCGCTTTAGTTGTTGTCACATATGTGATGAAGGTTTCGGCGCCACTTGTTGCACTGTTGTTATTGTTGCCGTTGCCGTTTCCATTCCCATTGCTCTTTGAGCTGCTTGTGGCACCACTCTTGCTGCTATTATTATTATTATTGTTGTTGGCCACATTGCTGGTGCCGCTGCCGCTGGCTGTTGTGCCGCTTGTGATGTTGGCGGAGGCTTTTTGCTTTTTCTTCTCCTGCTCCTTGCGCTTCTGGGCCTTGCGCTGATTCTTTCGGCTCATATTGTTTTGCGGCAAGGCAGCTGCAGACAAACCTGGACTTGGCCCAGCTGTTGGCGCTGGAGTTGGGCTTGGCCCTCGGCCTGTGCCTGTGCCTGTCGGTCCTGCCGCTCCCTTAACTTGCTTCGGCTGTTGGAGCTGTTGCGACTTTTGCTGATGTGTGGGCGTCGAGGCAGCTGACGAAGAACTCGACTGCTGCTGTTGCTGAACAGCTGGTTTTTGTTTCTGGGTCTTTGTGGGACTAGCTGGAACCGTATCAGATGCCAAGCTTGTGCTCATCGTTTTTGTTGGATTTTGCAAGAGAGGCTGCTGCTGCGACAGCGACTGCGGTTGTTGTTGTTGTTGTGGCGCTGAAGTATGCTTGATGCTGGTTAGAATGCTGATTCCTTTGTTGCTGCTGGTGGCTGCCTCTGCCACAGCATTGGCTATAGATGTTGGCGTGGCGGTGCCTGTAAGAGTTTTTACAATTAAACACGTGCATCAACTTAGACGAAATATACACCAACTTTGCTTGTTAGCCGACTTGGGGCGCTGCTTCTTGCTGGCCAGTGACTCCTCGAACAACACGGGTACGTTCATGTTGCCAGCAGTGGGCGATAAGTCATCGAAATGAGCATCCACGTTACCGCAGGCTAGCTCGGCTGCATTTTCCGAGGCATTATCCACTATAGTTGGGATGGTGGGATTTTAAAAAATTGATTAGACTTTTGTGAAATGTTTTGCAATCGATCAGTTACTTTATCGTTAATATATATAACATATATATATATATATATATATATATATTAATCTCAAATTATGCTGTGATTAACTCGTGAAAGCTTTGTTAAATAAGCAACTTTTTGTTAAGTTTATTCAGTTACGCTTATGATCGGAAAGAATACCTGAACTTGGGTATATGGGCTTACAAAAACTGACTCAATTGGGATTAGTTTGTTATTCAATGGGAAACAAATTGTAGAGCACATGGCTATCATTTGGTAATGATTGAAATAGAAGCAAATACTTTCTTTGATTGAAGGGATAAATAATTTGGTTGACAAACTCTTCTTTCTATTCCAAAAATTAGCAATTTCTGCGCTCCACGTATATCATTTTTAATAATTGTTACGTTCTCTTGACTGTCGAACTATTGTTAACCTTTCTAGAGAAATTTCCTCCTAATAGAGGGTGAATGGGTTTGGACTTATTTATAATTACTTGACTGAGCGCGACATATTTTCGGTTTTCCACGTATTGGATAATTTTATAATATATCATAAATCCATCTGGAGCTTGGTTTTAATGCCTATAAGATTAGACTCTAACGAAGTCTTAAAACAACTTGTTTGTGCTGCCATTTAAAGTAATTTTATCGGTTGAAACTTACCATCATTATACTGCCAAAAGCTGAGGTGTTCGTCTGGATTGCCCGAGTGGGCCAGTATGTCCTTAACAATGACGCTGACCTTGTCCTCGTCGGTCAATGGGGGCGATGATGCAAATGCGGCTGGCTGACAGACGCTGACCGGCTGAGAAGCTTTCTCAGTTTGCATTTGATGATCCACCATGACGCCGGACAGCATCAAGGTAGTTGAGCCTGAATCCGATGATATAGCGGTCGATTGGTATTGGGGAATGCTGCTCTCGCTTCCCGTACTCGATGTGAGTGTGCAGTTCGAGTCTTTTTTGATGAAAACCGATGAATTTGGATCCAGGACATTCTCCTTGGTGTCCGGATGAATGATGGGTATAGCATGCCGGCGCTCTTTGAATTTATCACCCCCAGCCAGCTGGGCGGCTGTGGTCAGTGAGGTGGCCGAAAACGATCCAGTCACACCAGGAACGGGTCCCACGGCTGTGGCACTGCTGCTCTGCAAATGAGGCGCATATGTGTGCAGTCCGGCCGTTGGAGCCGGCGCCGGTGCACTCATCCCGGCGGCCGCTATCATCGGCGCCGTGCTTAAGCTGGGTGGCGGCATAATCGGTAGGCTGGGACAGAATGTTGGCGGCATGTGAAACGCTGCCGTTCCATTTAGGGGTGTGCTCCGCGAATTCATAAGTGGCTGGACAGCCGCCGCCGCTGCTGCGTTGTTGACCAATGTGGGACGCGGCGGCGGCGCAGCTGATGGCACCGCATACGCAAAATAGCTGGGCTGCTGCGGCGGCGTCGAACGTTGCCCACCGCGCATATTGCCACGATGGCCACCATTGCCGCCTGCGCTGCCTACGGGATTGTTGTTGTTGCTGTTGTTATTGAGCGGCGCCGTGTGATAGTAGGTAATGGTCTGTTGTTGTGCTGCATTTGCGGCAGGTCCAGGATTAACGCCGTGCTGCTGTCCAGACGGCAACTGTTGTTTCTGTTGGGCTGCAGTCGCATAGAAACCGCCAGCGGGCGCTGCGTTACCACCATTCGATGCAAACGCTACGGTCTGTGCGCCAATTAGGCCGGGATGATTGAACGGCATATAGGTTGCCGATATATAGGTGGCCGTGCCAGTTCCACCCCCATTAGCGCCGGCCGGTGCGATCATGCCAGCTGATTGCGTAAAGTGCGGCGGCAGCGTCGGATTGCTGAGGGCGCGCACCAAACTTGTATTGCTGCTGGCTGGCGTAAGGACGCCATTCGCATGCGCGTGACCATGACCATGGCTGTGATGGTTATGGCCATGGGCATGTCCCAGCGAGCTGTTGCTGGCGGCGCCACTCAGTTGTAGAGCGGCGCCACCGCTGCTGCCATTACTACTGCTGCTGGACGAGTGTTGAGCGTGGTTCACGTATGGCAGCGCCGGCGGCGGCTGATTGGGATAAAAGATGATCGGCTGCTGTTGTATATGGTGCTGCTGCTGTTGTTGCTGAAGATGTTGCTGCTGCTGCTGTTGAAGATGTTGCTGCTGCTGCTGTTGTTGTTGTTGCTGCTGCAGCTGCTGTTGTTGCTGTTGCGGTAGGGGGTGGTGGTGATGATGTAGACTACCGAGACTCGAGACCCCGCTCTGCTGCGGCACGAACACTGCGTGCGCTGCCTGTTGCTGCTGTTGATCCTGTTGCTGGTGCAGATGAGAGATGCGCGACTGTTGCTGCTGCGGCGGCGGCTGTTGTTGTTGTTGCTGCTGTTGCTGTTGTTGCGACTGGTTCTGGTGATGGTGGTGCGAATGCGTGTGACCGTGTGACGTCTGGTGGTGCTGGGTCTGGTGGTTGTGGTTCTGCTGGTGTGTTGATTGTGGCCTGTTTCCCTTCCCACCCCCTCCCGTTGGCATGAACATAGGAGGACCTTCGTAGGATCTAAACACACACGCACACACGCAACGGTGTGTTTAAGTCAGTGTGTGTGTCATAGAGGCCGAGAGAGTGAGAGAGATAGAGAGAGAGAGAAAGAAAGAGAGGGAGAAAGGAGCACACGAGCATGTGGAGGCGACCACAAATATCGTTGGCGTCGTGGAACAGAACAAAATGTACAAAATTTTATTGTTAGTAAGATGAAAATGGGGAAAATGAAACGCATTATATATTGAAAGCCATGGGACATCGAATGCGGTGAATGATCGTGCGAGATTGAAGCAAAAAGCGCATGCAAATTATTAAATCTAAAACAACTTACAACAACTTAAAGATATATGCATAGCTACGACTAAAAAGCAGGACAGATTAAAGATTACTTAACTATTCCGAATTTTGATATCGTAGAGAGAAATTAAATTTCTTTAAAATTATGTTGTTGCTGGGAAATTGTAACAACTGGGTATTAAAAATGCATTTAAATGTATTTTTATTCCTTTTTCATTTTGCCATATTTTTAGCAACATCAATAATATTCAATCCAAAATGTTACAATTTTCGAGCGAATGCACAGATTAACCAAAAGACGAACAATTATCCAAGCTTGTCTGTCAATTATTTTCCATTCCCGTAACTTAAGTGTCCAACTTTTGAAAATAGAACCAATAAATTCGACTTTTGCCAATTTTCAGCGAAATTGGAATTTTAACAGCGCCAAATGCATTTACATTCTATGCAATGGGAGAAACGAGAGAGAGAGAGAGAGAGAGAGAGAGGGAGAGAGAGACTCTCTTTTGTGACAGTTTTGCAGTTAATTGAGCTTATGAATTGGCATGATGTCACGTACGGGGCGTGTGAAATATTCACACACACACACACACACACACCCATACACACACATCTGTTGAGTATGGCTCACTTATCGGCTGCTTTTATCAAAAGGTATCACATACTATTGCAAAATATACAGTGTGTACTTTATGTAAAATAAAAATAAAAAGAAGAAGAGAACATTTAATAAAGATAGCGAACCATTTGGTGACACACAAAACAACAGGTGGCGCTCTTAGTCAGCGACAAGGCGAACAGTGCTGTAAAAGATGGCAGGAAAAAGCAAGTGCTGCTTAGCGTGGGAGCAGCGGCTGCTGTTTAGACGTTCCACATTCAGTGAATGCCCATCTTAGGCGGAGGATGTGGGCAATATCTGGCACAAGTGGCCACTGAACTGGCATCACAGGCGTTTCTCAAGTGTTTGCTTGCAGAAAAACCTGTTTCCAATGCCTTCAAGACTGAACTACAGTTTCTGCAGCAAAGAAACCAGAAACGAAAACCCGTTTCGTGAAATTTTCACACTTTTCGTTGTTTGTAAACAAAAACCAGTTGTGGTCCAACTGGCGTGGGTGAACATGGTCCAATTGGAATGGTTCTGATTGACAATCAAGTTAAATATAGTCAGATTCACAGAGCGAGCGAGAGTTAATTTAAAAGCAATAAAATAAGCTATACAAAAAAAAATGAAGCGCAATAGCCATATTCTATTTTCTAATTTCACTATTTTCACTGTTATTTATACAGGGTGTGGTGTTAACTTACCGCTTCCTGCGCTTTTTTTACTGTTCCTGTTCTGCGCTCACGCTTACGTTTACGTTTTTGTGTTCTCCTACCGCAGTGGCTGTTATTCCTTTTTCCTTTATTGTTTTCTATTTTGTTGCTACAAACGCGTTGTTGCTGTTGCTGTTGTTGTTGCAGGGTCCCCACGACGAGTTTCGAAAAAAAAAAAGAAACAAAGCGACGCGCGTTTGTTTTTATTACTTTAATTGCGTTTGTTTCCCCGATATTTAACAATTCTTTGGGCTCTGTGACTTGCAATTTGTCGTAGTACGCAGACTCAAATGATAATTCAACTCTTTTTCGATTTTGTTTCGCTTTGTTTATAATTTTGCGAGCTGCTCAAATGCAGACTCCGGGGTTTGCGAAAATTTACGCGCTTTTTTTTTTTTCTTTTTCGTGGCCGCGTTTAATTTTCGTTGAATTATAAACCTTTCACATGTATAATTAACGAAATGCAAATGTTAACGCACATCGACATTTAAGTAGACGAAAAACGAGCACGCACATATATACGTTCAAAATATAGAAATAAGTACTGCTAAAATTTCACGGTAATTTTCTCTATAATTAAAAGAAAAAGATAAACGTTTGCTTTAATTTTGCATGTACAATTTGGTCAATTCAAGGAATTGTAAGGCAAAGCTTGCTATATTGTTTTCGATTGAATTTGTTTTTCTCTTTCACACACACATACACTTACATACACAAACAGAAACTCACACACACACACAGACGCACCAGCACACACGGATTTTCGTCGAGGCGTTGGTGTTGTTTTTGCGTTTGTCGCCTCTGCTGCTCGGCTGTCGTCTGTCTCTTTCGGTTGGTGGTACTTACTCGCCGCCCAAAGCTGCTTACACACAGCCACACATCATAAATGAAGAAACGAAAAAATTGGGTTCCACGTGGGGAACACGCCTATTAAGTACTCGCGGCGTGTCTTTACATTAGTTCATTGTTTTTTTTTTCTTTTGGTTACAGTTTTGTATAGTCTGTATATATCCTATTACAAATAATTTTGTAAAATGTAAAAACGCTACAGAAACACGTCCGCTCTTGACAACTTCACTAACAGAATGTTATCGACTAAGTCGATTGTTGTTCGCATAACATATGTTTTTGACAGCCAAAAGCTAACACTTTGCTGAACTGTTATTAACAGCAGATATTCTGTTAAATTGACTTAAAACGCCGTTATTACTTCAAACAAAAAATCCTAATGTTTGCCATTGTTGCTAATGTTTGCTATATGTTACTGCATTAATTTTAGTATAACAGTTGTTTTCTCTGTACACCCCTTTGTAAAAACATAAGACGAACGGGGTTCTAACCCAAAGAAAACCAATAAAAGCTGTAAGCAGAGCGATAACAGAGCAGACCATTTTTCGATAAATTACATTATTATAAATATTTTGTTTTTCTAAACGTATTGTTGTTTTCGTAAGCAACCTTATTTACAGTACGCATCCCGAATTCTTAAACTCTGTTAACGGAGCTTACAAATTTTACAAGTTAATAAAATTTGCCTAAAAAAAGTCGTTCGTTTACAGTTGCTTTGACCAATTATCTTTGTATATTGTTTCTATACCCGCATGATGCATGCGGAATAAAATTAAATTATTAGCAAAGGCGTCTGAGTTGGCCTTGAGGACAACCGCCCAAATGGGCCGATTTTAATGATCGAATGCGTACTGTATATGCGTTAGAGTATAGTAATTTACCTATCGGTATGCTATTAGTATATTTATAAATACTGTATGTTATTATAAAAACGGTCACACTATGTTAGTTTGAAAATGTTAAGTGGACGACTTGGAGCTTGCTGATGTAGTACTCACATACCACTGTTAGTATGCTTGTTGTCCGATAGATGGCGTAAAATATAAGTATTCATTTTATTTTATTTATGTTTAATTTAAAAGAGCGGCCATTTTGAGCCAACAACAATTTGCATTTTATTTAACATTCAAACGATAACTGATTACTTGAGTTTTATTTTTAAAAAGCTACGCCTACTTTAACGTTTAGTTGTCGTCTTGTTGATATGCGTAAGCCGGCATGTGAGTCGCCTATGTAAACTTGTACATATTTATTTATGCCTATATAAAGTTGACTTTGTAGTTGTTCTTACGGACATGCGCCGTACATCTGCTTCCAATGCGTATTCGTCACCCTGTATGGCCTTGGTGGAGCTTGGAGCTGGAAAGCTTGCAGTATTTACGCGCCCAATTCTTGGGGACATAGTAAAAGTTGTTTTCTCCCCATTTTGCCGGATATGCTGACAAAAGCGCCATCGCTGCGGCTCGGACCCCATTTTGTATATGCATTCTACATCCCCCCCTCCCCATCTCCCTCACTCAGTCACAAGGCTGTGGCGCATTTCTGGCTGGCTTTTCTTGTTGAAGGTTTTTATCAGTTGAGTTACATTGCGGCTCTTGTTACTGTTATCGGCCGGCCAGAAGTTCTGGGTCTTTTTCTGAAAACTACCATTGCAATGACAGACTGTTTTTTGTTATAATCAGCTCTTAAAGTCTGATTTGTTAAATATATTCAACACAATATTCATATGCCTATTTATGCATGTTTAAACTGTGGCTAATTGTTCATTTGGATAGAAACAGTTCTGACTTTAGGTTTAACTCAACCAATTTAACTATCGACAAAACTGACAAAACAAATGGCTAAATAAAAGGCTTGTTTTAGACCAATGGGACTGCAAAGGCAGCTAACCGCAAATGCAAATGTGCAAAATTGAGAAAGTAAACAAGGGAAACACAAACCGCAGAGCACGCACACACAAACATGCATCCACACAACCACTTTGTGGGTAATTTATATTGCACATTTTCCTGCAAGTCGACTTATATATTGCAACATTCAACATTTCGTCTCTGGTTGGGCTGGCCGAAATGCAGGTTTTATTTGTTAATTTATCAAATTTGAATATAACGTCTACTTTTGCAGCGCCATCTATCTTCTATAAAAGGCGCATTTTCAAGTGTGACCAGCAGCTACTATTGATGATTTATTATTTTATTTGTATTTCATTTTCTCTTTTCAGGCTTACATTGAATGAGATGAATCCGAATAAATCACAAAAATCAAACTGTAAATGTAATACAACAAACCTGTAAGATGGGCAACTAATTTGTTTGAGTGTAAATAAATACTAAATCCATAAATGCACTTAAAAATACCGCACGCGCAAGCATAGCATAGCATCGCGAGCGCTTCCTATTGGAATTTGCGCGGCACTCAGTCTGAGGCCGAAGCTTGTTCCTGACGCGCGTTTTACGAGCCGCGGCGTTTAAAACGCTTTTTTCCGTTTTATACTCTTCTGCACACATTTTGGCGTTAATAAATATATAAACAGTATCGAAAAAAGAAATTTTAAAATTATAACAAAGCAATAGCAATATTATTTACAATTAAGAAACAAACTTTGTTTTGTTTATTTCAAAAGTTTACATTAAAAGCGAGTGAAATGATAATAACACAATAAAAGTGGGCAAGTTTTTTACGAATCTATAAGAATGGGCATAGCCCAATTAACAATAATTTCTTTTATTTTCATATATTTTAAATAAATAACAAAAAAGAAAAACGAAATAATAATCATAATTTACAATTACGCGACAATAAAGTGTTATTTGTGCAATAATTTAGAACATTTCTATAAGAAATTAATAAGTGAAAACAACAAAACAAAAGCAAAATCAATTAAAACCAATGTAGATAGTAAAATAAATAAATAAATAAATAAATCTTAGAATTGCGAACGAATAAGAAATACAAAAATACAAACCTGCGCCATTTTGTAGACGAACTCGCGAATGTAACTGTAAAAAAAGCTCACACCAACACATGGACACAAAGACGATTGTGTGTATTGGAGCCTGCATAATGCGATGTGAGACCTTGAATTAAAAAAAAAAGAAAACACGCCAACGATTTGCCGCCAACTTGTCGACAATATCTCTACTAGAAGACACCCACCAAGAGAAAGAGAGAGGGAGAGAGCGAGAGAGAGCGGGAGAGAGAGGGAGCAGAAAGTGAAGAGAAGACAGCAGCCCACCTGAAATTCGGCCCTCGTAATACCTAGCAATAGATTTAAATCCAAGTACACCCACGCAAGCGCATGTCCGGCAACAACAACAATTGAAGCTGCGTTCGCCTTGGTTTTTGGTCATTTTGTGGAATAAAACGCTAAATTTTTGGTTGGCATGGAAACGCCGTTAGTGCGGAGAAAAATGCGTCGTCAGGGACAAACAAAAGCATCGACAGCAACAACAATAGCAGCAAAAACTTCAACAATGGCAACTGCAGCCAGGACAAGAGCCAGGATAACAGCACAGGCAACAACCTTAACGACATCACAAGGATTAATCGGCACATGGTCCCAGTTTGTTGTTGTTGTTGTTTTTGTTGCTGTTGCAATACTGCTAAATTGCCACGTCTGTCAAGGTGAGTATCCGACCAATTGCCCATGTGTGTGTGTGTGTGTGTGTGTGTGTGTATGCTGGTTCTAATAGCTGAATGAACACTTTTGCTCTCGCCCGAACGAGATTTAGGCCAAATTAAAGTGAGTCTTAGTCTCGTCTGTAAAATATTTGTTATGCTGAGCTCAGTCTAGAGAATATGCATGCAGAGTTTTTCTATTTTTATTGTCCATAATTTAGACATGACATTTGACACATTGAGTACAACGTAATATTAAAAAAACCTAAAACAATTAGCAATAGCTCAAGTCAGCTTTTTTCTAGAGGCCTTTTGGCAAGGCCTTCGGACACTTGAAAGTTGCCCAGCTCAAGTGAACGCACGCCGCGTGTGAGATCTACAAAATGACGAGCTCCAAATGTAGATAACTATTTAACACTTTGCCGTAGTCTTAATAATTTGCACCTCGAAAAAGTGTTGCGTCATTTCCACAGCCATTGATTCTATAGTGTTTTTCAAATAAATTTAAAAAAAAAACTAACTCTTTACTGCCTTCCTTATATGTATGCGCATCGCAATTATCAATAACTCATTTGGCAGTCAACAAATAAATGAGCAGCTGCAGAATAAGTTAATAAAATTGATCGACTATTAGACACGCTCAGAGCGAATTGAATATTCCATTTGGTGTTGCCACATCAGATACATTTCAAAATAACATGCAGTCTGGCAGCACAAGCTCAAACGTAATGACCCTGTTAAGTTGGCTGCGCCACACAATTTTTTAAATAATTAAAATTAGTTAAAATATAGATAGAGAGATTCAGAAAATTGCCAGAGATGAAATCGTGCAGTTACTTTGGCTTACTTGTGTGTGAAATTTGTGAAGGGAAAATCATCTAAACTAAATTTAATTAATAATTTGTTGTTTTTTCTGACTTTGATTATTCTTAAATTTGAACACGAAAGTGAATGCCTGACTTTAAAATTAACTGGCTTTTTTTTGTTAGTTTTTTTTTTCGGACTTTCATTATTCTTCAATTTAATCAGGAATGTGAATGCCTGACTTAAAAATTAACTGGCTGATATTTATTTTTGCACTAAAATCATCTAATTGAAAAGTTGATAATATCAGAGAAGTCTATCTTAATTTGAATATATGTATTTAAAATGTGCAATTATAGGCTGTCCTATTATGACAGCTCGACTGTGAGATCATTAACTTGCGACAGCTACTTAAACATTTAATTATAATGCATTAACTAATATAATTAAGAAACGTTAGTTTTGGCCAGGTGAGCAAAAAGATGCCGTCAGTTGTTTTGAACAAAGTGAAAGCCATTACGAATTGCTTGTAATTCGCTTTAATGAGCAGAATTCATGCTCACTGATCTCAGGCACAACAAAAGGCGCCCAAATGGGATTTACTATATATGAATATACATATAGAAGATTCCTCATAGCTCATAGGATTGGTGTTTCGGCTTCTTGTGTCGAGGTCTCTGTTATACGAGCATTTAGCCATTTATGAGTACAGCTTGTAAATGTGAGTTTTCAAATCAAAGCATAGCCATTGTTTTGCATATTATTGAGGCCCGCAGATAATACATGGCTTCGCCTGCCTAATTATCATAATTAGCCCGGCCAACAGCGCGCGCAGGTCGCTTGGCTTTCGGTTCATTGAACCGTTGACAACTCACGCGCTGGTCATGCAATTGGTCAGCAGCGAAGAAGAAGAAGAAAATAAAACAAACAGAATTAGGCACGCTGTAGACGAGTGTGCTCGACTGCTTGATACCCTGTAACCCGCTGTCAATATAATATTATGGTTCATAGCATCATTCTTTCAATTCTTTGAATTTCCCAATTGTTTATTCAGATATCTGTAGATTAGTTATGTACACATACATGTCCTGATATTTGGGCGAAAAGGGCGAAGGTATTAATAAAGTGAAATATTTTCACTCAGTTTAATGTATTAAGCTCTTATTGTTTTTGAGTTATGCTTAAAGGACCATGTTTTAAAATAGATTTGCATCAATATTTTCGAAGTGCAATGATATATCGACCAATTATTATAAGTCCTTTGTGTATGGTATAGGATTATATATTTCTCAAATTTCAAGTCTCTAGTTCTTGTAGTTCCGATATCGGACAGACGGACAGACGGACATTCGTAAATCGATTTAGTTCGTTGTTTTAATCAAGAATATATATACTTTATAGAACATGGTTTCTACTGTCCACCACACCAATATACCCTTTCTTTCTCAACAAGTAAAGGGTAAACACAGATTCATACTGGTTGTTGGATATTTTAAGGTTTTTGATGCACATGTTTATCGGATAGAAGCAGGAAACTCTAATCAATTATACAAATATTTTGTGCGTATAGAAATATGGCATTATAGATATTGCTGCAAGTGGGATCGGCTCTTCAGGCTGATATAGAAAATGCACACATTTTTTTTAAAGGGCATGGGTCGGGCAGCTATATGTAGTATAACATTTAGAAGGCGGCGACTCCGACCCCATAGAGTATATATATATATATAAAAGATCGCGATAACTCATCCCGTTTCTCTGGTATAGTATATATAGAACCATAATACTTCATCTAATGTCTGAATAATTCAAATATTTTCTAATATTAAATTCGCTTTGAAAGTTTCCACCATTTCTATACTCCCATTTGTATGCCCCCATTTAAACTTTTCTTTGTTTTTCTTCAATTTAAATTATGGGCGTGATCCTGGAATGACCCTACTTAGAAAAGGGCAAACCTTATGTACATTCTAATTCTGTACGCAGTTTCCCACGTTCACTTTGCGAAACTCAACAATTGTTACAGGTTTTTCTCACACTTTTAAGGCGGAAGTCAGCAAATTTTGTTAAATTACGCATGACTTGTTGAAAGATGAAACCAAAAAATGCTCTTCCGACTCCACATAATTATTTTTTGCGCCAACAGACTTGAGTTCGGAACTTTAAATTCTCAGGTGCTAGATCAGAGCTGTAAATTTGTAAAGTTTTCAATTTTTTTTTCTATAATTGATTCCGATTTGTGCCTCTTGATATATACGATAAACCGAGCTAATGAGCCGCATTTAATCAGGAGAGCATTTGGATTCTGTGTGTCTTGGCCATATATCTCAGCTGTGACATTATTTATGTCCAAGAATTATTCTTCGCATTCGACATTAGACATTAGACATTAGAGAGGCCAATGAACCGCAAACAAACTAAATCATTCATACTATCTGTGCTGGAAGTGTAAATGCTGGCTGTGTGCAGCGTTTTCTACGGAGACAACAAAGTGCGAGTACTGCCAAAAAGCGAATGGTGTAATGTGGAAACCGGTTGACGATTGTCCGACAACGGCTGTGGCAATGTCTTCTCATACTTGGCATACAGTTCCCAGCACACACACACACACACGCAGACTTGGCCCAAAAGTTACACATCAAGAGCTGGCTGCCAAGCTCTGGCTGCGGCTGCGGCAAACAGAAGTGACTCGGCAGCTGGCCCAGCCAGCCCATATGCCGCTTACGTAACACAAGTCTTTTGAGCAAAAAGAAACAAAAAAAAAAAACAGCTCAAACTCGAACTTTTAAAATGAAAAGCGCAGTCGCAGTCGCAGTTGAACTCAATTCCATTGGCATGCAGTCGCTCGTCTTGGCGGTTAATTAACATGGCATAAATATGAGCAGCGGGTAGCGCAAAAAAAAAAAATATATTAAAAAAAATGAAAGTGCGTGGCAAGCATTACGTATGCCTCTCGGCTATCCAGAAACACTTAAGGCCAAACCTGTCTCTTAGCCAAAGCCGCAGAATGCAATGACAATATCGAACAGGCTCTGTTATGCGGTTGAAAACATTGTATGCATGCTTATGGACCTATCATTTTTTGTAATTTTATTAACAGTTTAAAGTACTTAAATGAATTAAATGTAACAAATTTGTTGGTAGTACTCGGTAGGCTCGTGGCCTAAATCACTTGGCCATTAAGCTAAGCGAGCCAGGCTTCAATGTTGTAAAGGCTTACCTGAGACCCAAATCGTATGGCAGCCAGTCTTATTTGTAAAGTTGGGTCGATTGTCTAGGCTATATTATATTAAATGGCTGGAACAGTTATTATTTTGAAGAAATCGTCTCAATAGTCTTTTAATATAAAACTGCTTTTGCTGACTGAAAGGTGACCCTCGACCCTCGACCCACATCCCAAGCCGTAAAAACTATTAGACTATAATTCTACCGAAGCTTTTATTCAGATCGAAGAGCTGCACTAGGAAGGGTTGTGGAAAATTCAAAGTTTTTTATGAAAAATCATCAAAAAGCAGGCAGCCATAAAAATATAATTTGCAAACTTGACGTTATGTATTTTGGCGTCGAACTAGCGAGCGACAGCTCATTTGGTTCAAATCCGGCAGCAATTGTTACTTTAAATTGTTATTGTTCACAATGAAAAGAACAATAATACATTAAGAAATAACAATAATGAATGCTAGTTAATAATAATAATTGCCATTTTCCTTTTGTTTTGATTATTTTGCTAACCACAATGCTTGCACATGATTTTCTTGGCAGGCCCCACTCGATTGATTGGGCAACGTAGTTGGCTGAAGGTCAGGTTAAGGATTCCAATTCAAGAGAAAACCGAATACTTGTTCCTTTCAATTTAAATAAGACATGTAAGAGGTTCTAGTCGGGAGCTCCCGACTAGGGGATACCCTGAACCCTCTTCTTCCAACATCAAATGCATATATATATTCTATTTTAGAAGCAATATGTCAAGTTTGGTGACTCTAGCTCTTATTATTTACCAAAATTGCCCAAAAAACAGGATATCGATATAGATTTTTATCGATGGCTTGAAAACGGAGGAAGTTATCGATTATCGGAAACAAACTCGATTTGCGCGGGAACTAGGAGCATCTACATCTAAAATTTCAACTCTCTAGCTCTTATAGGTTCTGAGATCCTTGAGTTCATACATACGGACGGACGGACGGACGGACGAACGGACG